AGTTACCAGATTAGATTTCACTTATTTCAGAGTTGAGGGCATAGCCCACCCTTCAAATATGTAATGGATAATCTATTCTGATTATTTACACAAGTAGCCTACAATAGCAACCGAGTTACAGGTAAGAAGAAGGGTAAAATTGGCTTCCTGTACTGTTCTGCCCTTCCTTATTATCTCCATTGAACTGCATAAGAAGTGAACCATGCCTTTTTTCCCCAAGGTATTTATATTTATAGCTCAGCCAGTTAGACGATTTCATGAATAGGAGAGAATGTGTACAGGAGACAGACCCTCTATTAAGATGCAAAGTGTTCAGTTAAAGTATTTAAGAATCGTGTAGTGGCAGCTGTGACAGTGCCAGAGCTAATTAAACTCAGGTTCTAAAAATAAATAAAAAATTGCTTGGTGATTCATCCCATATTTGATTTTTCCTCCAAGCACTAATTATGTAAATTTACCCTGATAATTGTTGCTTAGACTAGAATCTTCCTGCTATGTATTCATGTCAATAACAAAGATCGAGTCAACCAACCTGTGTGCTGCTTCTGTTGAGGTCTTCATACACAGTTAAGCTTCTGTCAACTTTGGCTTCAGCTTTTGCACTGGCTTTAATGCTGTTACAAATCAGTTAATGCCAACGATGTCAACAGTCACCCAGGGAGGAGGAGAAGCCAATTCTCTTGTTTATGTTTCCTCTGTGTGTTAAGAGCATGTTGGTTTCTATTTGTTTTCACATGTTCAAAAACCTTCACTTAAGACGAGGCACACTGTGCTTGCCCTGTAGTTGGAAGTCTGTGGGCAACCTGAATGCACAGAGGTACAGACGTGTCAATATTTTGGAGCTACTTCTCATATGACTTTGAAGCTATAATCTCAGAAACTGAATGCAGTTTCTGCTTCATTTGCAAATAACAATCCTAATATTACAGTTAGATCCCTTCATTCAGTTTTCTATTTTTCTGTAGATGTTAAAAATTTGTGTGTTACTTTCTGCATCTCAAAATACACATCCTTCATCCTAGTCAGAAGGTGTTTTTGTCTAACTTCACAGAAAACTTCAGAAAAACAGATTGGATTAAATATTATTCAGATTTTGTGCCTAATTAACTAAAACTGACGAGGAGAAGAAACCTCAGATTACTATTACTTAGAAAATTAGACTGTGATGTAAATATTAAAACATGTTTAAGCAAAGTTGTTTTAGCACTCTAAAAGTTAAAAATATTTAAATTTAGCAGTTTGATAGCAGCGCATTCAAGTATTTCAAGTGGACTTGAAATATGTACTTACTAACTCTGTCCTGTTGCGCTACCAAGTAAGTATGCAGAAGTGTAACTTTTGCAATATTCCTCAACAGGGACTTACTAACATGCAGTTCTACTTGGACTGCCAAGTCCTCCAAGATTTGGCTCCATCACTTCCATAGATTTCACAAACCTTTATAATTTTTTTCTCTTCGTTCAACCATAAAACGGTCAACATGACACCGACTTTTAAAAGGCTCTCAAAGGAGCTGCAGAAGAGGAACTACAGAGCAGTAAACCTGAATTCTGCACTGGACAAGTTTGGTGAAAGTCACCAAAAAGAACACAATTAAGTGGGAGTGTGGATAAATGATTTCGACTGAGGCAGAATCTATATGGATATTTTATGACTTCTCTTTACACATTAATCCAATGGGATTCTTTGAAGGAATCAGAAATCATGTGCATTAGACAGGTCCTGCTGATACACTTTGCTTATATTTCACAACAATGTACCCCTATTTTTTGAAGATTAGGCACAGTTGTGCCTCTGTCTCAAAATGCATAGAGGAAAACTCAGAGGCACATAGAAGGGTGTAAAAGACTTGGCATGCCTTCCATATTAGAACTGACTAGCTCAACCAGGACAGCTCATCCAGGGAAGAAAGAACGGACAGGGCATTTCACATGAGAAAGGATTACCAGAGAATGCTTTACTATCTTTGTGAACACATGAATTAAGGGGTTTAAACAAAGAAAAGACCAATGACAGTCACAATCAGAAACGCAAACCTTTCAAATGTCAAAGTTTACATCTTTTACACAAAATTATGTATGTGTGTTGATTCTTACATAGCTTGGGAAAAGAGCATTACTTTCATTAATTTATAGGATTGGATTGTATCTTATCACGTACTGATATATAAGACAAGATTATTGTGTTTTCATTTAAGAATATAAATGCTTGACTGAGAGTCTAAATTGGTTCCTCTAGAGTCTACTTATAATCAGGAGACAGAATCAGGTAACTCTAGCAGGTAATTTATCTTAAAAATCTAAAATAAATTAGATTATTTACCCTGTGTGGTACTTTCAAAGCAACTTCAGGTGGCTAAGATGAATCTTACACAGAGTGTACAAAGCCATTTCCTATCCAAAAAGCACACTGTATTATCTTCCATATTTACTCAAATCTCACAAAAATTAATGCTTAATATGGAAATAATGATTATAGTATGTACTGGAGCATAAGCATGCTGAAACAACATATGAAGACTTTCACACAAAATGTCATATTATGAAGAACACTGAAATGTACTGCCCCATTTCCCTCCCAAAATTTCTAACTTTTTCCTTCAAGAAAACTGCAAGTGCAGGTACCAGCAGTGTTAGTTCATTTATTCTAAATAACAACCAATAGAAAAGTTTGTCAAGCCCATACTTTGGCATGGTTGCTTTCCTAGTAAAGAAGTCATATACAACCAAGAGAAAAATTTGAGGCAGAGAACAGAAATTTGCTCTATTTGGAAGAATACATAAAAGTTTGTTCAGTAACAGTTCTAACTCTGTTGGTTTTAGGGCTCATCTGAAATCCACATCATTCTTGCCATTTGTAGCAGTAAGTTACTCCTATACACAGGATAGAGATAGATTTTAACATTTCACTTTTGGAAATGACCACATCAGCAAAATCACCCACCTTTATTTGTAAGTTCAGTTTTAGTGTCTTCGCTCTGTAAACTGTTTATCATTACTGTTTGTTCTGCACTGAAATGTTAACATGCAGATGGCTGCCTGTCTTTGCACATACTATGGCAGCTTGGGGTACCATAGGTAATTCTTCTCTTGATCATGGGCAATGTTTCAGCTGCAACAATTAGACTCTAATTTCTCCAAAGATTCTATCACTTGTGTCCTGACCTTTGGTAGCTATAGCAGACTTTTATCTGAAATCTTCCTCAAGAGCTTCCTTTGCCCATCTGTTAGCTACCAGCTTCTCTACACTTTTCAGGTTTTTGGAGTAATCCAAGCGAAAATTTCTAACTCTGCCTACTAACTCCACTTGTAGTAAAGCAAGAACTATTTCAAAATCTTCTAGGTTTAGACTTCAGTGGTAAAGCACATAAACTGAACTCTATCTCTAGGATTTCCCTGTCCTTTCTATCTCCAAAGGGTGCTACCAATGTTAGTTAAAGATGCAGATATCTGACCTTCAGGAAAAAAACACTCTTCTTTTAGAAAACTGAAGATTCAGGGTGCAAGTTCAGGCCTCTTCTGATGTCAGGACTTGAGCATAACTCAAAATGACTCATTCTCTGGACTAAACTCAAAGCCATTTTTCATGAATATACAAGACCCTCATATTTTATTTTTTCCCCACTTCAATTCCAGCACAGAAAACTTGGACATATTCCATTCAACTATCCCTTTCCTTTATACTGACAGGACAAAGTCAACTAAAAATTATGTTGCTTCAACAGCTATCTCTATTTTTGATCCTGTAACCCCAAGTTGAGATTTCTTTTCTGGCATTAGTGTCTAATTTTTTCCCCTTTGCTTTCCTTTAGAAGTGTGAACTTTAATGTGAACCAGACTACCCATCATATGCTTCATTGCTTCAAGTTCTCTGATCTAATTAGCTAATAGATTGTTGTTTAACTATACCAAAAATAAAATCATAAAAAAATAACAAGCTTTACAGTTCTAATTATGCCTTTAGGATTCTGGAATTACAGAATAACCAACTTCATCACTATTTCACCTGAAAATCATCTTTTATTTTTTCCTTTGGAACCCTACACATAGAGTGTTCTGGGTTCTTGCTTTCCTATTTCCTTCTCTTGATCGAAACTAGCCCCAGCTACTGTTGTCTAGTACAAGACTAAGTATGAGCTCTTAATATTAAACTATTAATTGCTCAAACCAAACACAAAAAAGGGAAGTCATTCTTCTTAAGGGTCGTTTTACTTTGTGACTGGCAATCCTCAAACAGAGATGGCTGTAAACTACTATCTAAATTTTTCTCTCTTTAGTTTTACTTAGTCAGGGTTCTCTGGATTGGCCTTTGTCCTGAAAGGTAAATGTTGCCAAAATGGCTCCTACAAAATTCTGTTTGAATCCATAACACTGCAAACAGCCAATTGTGAGAAATGGTTTCCTCCAGAAATTATATTCTCCAGAGTGTGGAGAATATTATTCTACTCAGTTACATAGTTAACAACATTGACATTTTTCATGCCTTTATTTAAAACTTAGTCCAACAGGAAAGCTTTTCACAGCAAGCTGTAGAACTGCCCCTGTAAAAGCACTTCTGAAAACAGTCCGTCTTACAACAACCATCTGAAGACATTGACCAATAGCTGGAGAACTTTTCTTGGTGGGCAAATTGCCCTTAGAACAGGCTATAACTTTTCAGAGTTAATCTTCAGAATTATCATCTTGTTCAATTGTCAAACAACTGAATTAGAGCTGCTGTCATTTCATGTCACCCGGTAGGTTTTGGGCTCATTCTGGCACATGGTCTTATGTTTACTGACCGAGGGCAGAAATTTACTTACAGGTGTCAAACATTAGTGCAATGGAATACTAATCTGATCATGATCTAAACATACTCTGAAAAACTGAAGTATAAATTGTAACAATCTTCAGGTGACTGACTGGCCAGCCAGCTGAAAAGACAAGAAAGTAGATTATTTCAAAGACTATTTCAAGAAACATATTCTAGTCCACTACTTTTATGATACCATGGTATACTACTCACCCTCATTCAGTGAATTCCCCAGCAGGCACACAGGCAAGTCCTGTGTTTACTTCTGGAACGGGTAGTCACAGCAGCAGAAGGCACAATGGGAAGGAAAGGAGAGGTCATAGCCAGGGCAAATTCCTACTGATTTCTGATAGCACATGCTTCCTTGTGCCAAAATTCAGGTCCCTTGAAAATCATAACTATTTATTGTTTTTCCACTTCTCTTGTACATCTTTGTCCTCTATGAGGTGGTTGAGCTAGAGAGTCTAATACAGTGACTTGCTCTCGCTTTTAATTGAGGCAGATGGTGTAAAAGCCAAAGTTTCTTTCTTCACTAGCAGGTGTTCAGCCACAGGGGCCAGGGAGGAGCTGTAGCTGCAAAGTGCCGCAGCTGCTGCTTGAAGTGCTCTCAGCAAACCCCTGAGCAGGGTCACACTGCTGGGGCAGATACAGTCCCTACTTTATTCATGTGGCAATAGTTCTGTGCTGCACTTCAGCACAAAGGTACAGCTCATAGTCTAATGCATTTGTTCACTTTATTACCTCAAGGAACCAAGGGATTGCAAGTTGTAAATGGCCACTGCTGTAGTTTCATTTTCCTGAAGCTGTTTGGATAAGGTCTCTCCAGGCTGAGCAACCACAACTCTCTCAGTCTTTCATTATCAGCCCTCTGACCATTTCCATAGCCCTTCTCTGGACTCACTTCAACAGGTTGATGTCTTTCCTGTGCCGGGACAGTACCAAGGGCTTGCCATTTCTGTTAGGGATAACAAAAAGTCTTTCTACAGATACATCAATAGCAAAAGGAGGGACAAGGAAAACATTCTTTATTGGACATGGGCAGGAACATAATTATCAAAGATGAGGAAATGGCTGAGGTGTTTAACACCTTCTTTACCTCAGTTTTCAACAGTAAGACACGTCCTGAGGACAGCTGGCTTCTGGAGCTTGCAGGAAGAGAGAAGAAGCTGAATAGCCCCCTTGTAATCCAGGAAGAAACAGTTACGGCCTGCTGAGCCACTTGGATCCTCACAAAGTTTATGGAACCACATGGGTCCATCCTAGGGTGATGAGGGAGCTGGAGGAAGAGCTCGCCAAGCTGCAGGAGGTGGTAGCCAGGTCGGAGCTGGTCTCTTCTCCCACGCAGCTATCAGTAAGACAAGAGGGCATGGTCTTAAGCTCTGCCAGGGGAAGTTTAGGTTGGATATTAGGAAGAAATTCTTTACAGAGAGGGTAATCAGGCATTGGAATGGGCTGCCCAGGGAAGTAGTGGATTCTCCGTCCCTGGAGGTTTTTAAAAAGAGACTGGATGTGGCACTTAGTGCCATGGTCTAGTAACCGCAGCGGTAGTGGACCAAGGGTTGGACTTGATGATCTCAGAGGTTCCTTCCAACCCAGCTGATTCTATGACTCTATGATTCTGTGATTCAGAAGCCCAGGTAGTTGACGTCCATAGCTCTTCCTTTGTCCACTGATACAGCTACTCCATCATAGAAAGCTACTACATTAGTCAGGAGGAAATCTGAAGACAGATTCTTATGAATTGAATTCAAGAAATTTTGAAGGCTTCTCTTTTTATGAAGTGGAAGGTTACTGTGTGCACCACAGAGACATTTAAAATTGTCTTTATTTAGGCTGTCACACAGCTGAACATTCTCTGATTTAATCTAAACTCCTTAGAATACAAAATTATTGTTGTTCTCACCCTTCAGCTTTTAGGCAATATGTTGGGGAAACTAAAGGTGATTGAACTTACAAAAATATTACCAAGAACAACTGTCTTTCAAAAAGCCATAATCAGTGTGATATATCATATGACTGTAAAAGATAACATTTGGAACAGCTAACATTATAGAATCACTGAATGGTTTTGGTTGGAAGGGACCTTATAAAGACTATGCAGTTCCAATCCCTATGCCATAGGCGGGGACACTTCCCACTAGTCTCGTCTGCTCAGAGTCCCATCCAGCACGGCCTTGAGCACTTGCAGGGATGGGACATCCACAACTTCTCTGGGCAACCTGTGCCAGAGCCTCAAACCCTCACAGTAAAGAATTTCTTCCATGTACGTTCACTGTGTCCATTTTCATAATATCAGTCAAATTTGTATCAGATTGTATTTAGCTATTCCTGGTCATGGTTTGTAGGATACAATTTTATCACACTTGAAGTAGACACAGATAATCAAGACACAGCAATGACAGAAATTTCAATTAAAAATTATATTCAAACCTCAAGAAAATTTCATTACTAAAACAAGCAGTACAAACAATATCAAAACATAAAATGCACAGACTCAGCTATTTATCAGTATGTAGCAACTTCCCTAAATATGTGTTAACACTCACAAACACTTGTAGTTTGACAGCTTCCAGTGACAGACTCTAGCAGGATCTCTGTCCAAGAAAAATGGGAGAGGGTTTGGCGAGGAAATTCCTTTGATATTAATTAGAGGGCAGAACTCATCTGGGCCAAAATAAAGAGAGCAGAAACCTGTAAAACACTGCAGGTCATATCAAAGCAGGAAATGAAAACTGAAAGAGAATTTGAAGAACACCTTGTAAAGGATGCTCAGACTGGTAGTAAAAAGGCCCTTACACACATCAAAGGAAAGAAGGTAGTTACAAAACCCATGAAATATCTTATTAACAAAAGTCTAACCTGTGGAGCGGTGAGAGGCGGTGGCCAAGAGTGGCAAAGGTAGCACAGAGAAACTCAAAGAGTTGTGTGCTCCAGGTTGCAGTTGGGGGTGCTGGGAGTTCATGACTCCACATCTGCTTCACACCGAGGAGGACAGGAGATCTGTATCAACATGAAGTAACATTATAGGGAATAGGAGCTTAAACAGGAAAGTGAAAGTGAACAGGGTGTGTAAGCATGATGTCTGGAAGTGGAGCAAGTCACCCAAAAAGCAGGCGACATTTAGCCACAAGTGATGAGGGACCTCAGCTAACAAGCTGTGGAACCACTAAGAAACCATCCTCGTGGCTGGGAGGTGGCCACCACAGCACCGCTGCCCATTCAGGCCACGCCAGAGCCCGTCTGGAGAGGGAGAAACCAGCGAGGCTGACCTCGATCACTTGTGGAGCAGAACCACTTATGGCAAACCTCACGGACAAAGGTAGGCGACCAACCTCGACTAACCCACTCCATTTGAGGGCCGGGCCCACCGTGCCCCCTCAGGTGCGCGACCCCGGGGTGGGGTGAGGCGCGTCCCCGCGCCTGCGCGCGGCCGCCGCTGCAGGCCCGTGTTCGCCGCGGCCGCGCGTGCGCGCCCCTCTCCCCTCCCGGAAAAGATGGCGGTGGCGGGGGGACCGGCCGGGGGCAGCGAGTGAGGGACGGGGCGGGCAGGGTTGGAGGGAGACGCGGTTCCGGCGCCGACGCGGCTGAGGGGAGGCAGGTGCCGGGCAGCGGGGAGGGGGAGGACGAGGAAGCCGGGGGTGCCTTGTAGTGGGGATGAGGAGCCGGGGAGCCGGGGCAGGGAGGCGGTGAGGAGGGAGCGCGACTGCCCCGTATGCGCGGGCGCCCCTCGCCCCTCACGGCCCCCTCACTGCCCCGGGGACGGGGCGCAGCTCGGCGGCCCGGCGGAGGAGGCGGAGGAGCCGCGGCAGCGCTGGCGGGGGCAGAGGAAGGCGCACAGGTGAGTTCCGGGACGGGGCTGAGCCCTCAGGGCGCTGTCCCCGCCCGGCCCGGTGCGGGTCACCCAAAGCCCATAGTGCTGCTCTCGTTCACGAGTTTATTTATTTATTAGCAGTGGCACAAATGTGATTCGGCGTCACTTAGTGGTTTGGTTCCTCAAAACGTGCTGGAAAGCATTCGGCTGCTTGGTAGCTGAAATGCCACTGGAGCGTGAAGGCTGGGTCTTAGGAAGAGCTGAGCCGCTGTCCTCTGTGAGAAGATATTTAAGGGCCTTGACGTGGAAAACCCTCAGTTAAAAAACTGTTAGACAACTTATTAACCTCGAAACTCTCTGTTAGCAGGGCTTGTTTTCTGTTATGTGCCCTCTCTGACCTCCTGCGACGAGGGGTGCATGTGTACAGGTGTCTGTGACGGCAGCCTCGGTTCCTGTAGTAATTTTAGTGTTCGTTGCCATTCACAGCTTCAGAAGTGGTTAGATGTAAAGCAAAATAGTTCAGATTTCTGTAAATGTCAGCTTCATTGAGTTAACTGCAGAGAAATGAAGATGCAGGTGTACTGAAGTGTCTGACTCTGTTTGTTTACTATTGCCTTGCATGGGTCCTCCCCCCTCAGTCCGTGCCCCTCCATCCACTCCACCCACCCCCCACCAGCTATAAACAATATGATGGTTGTGACCTGAAGACAAGCCTTTTGGTAAAACTGTCACAGAAACTTTTAACTTTCTGAAAAAAAATAAAATAACTTTCTGCAGAATGTGTTTTCATGTACTTGTTTCTACCAACTACTGATTGAATGAGAGGAGGTGTTTCTGTGTACCAGTGGAGAAGCACAGGTTTGAAAGCTTTTCTTCAGGAATATTGCTGACATTTTGGCAAGTTAAAGCTATGGCAAGAGTTAAGTGAGATTGAGTCATTAATGGCAATGCAGAGAAACTGACCTTTTTTCCTATCCAGGTGCAGTAATCTAATATTTTTAAACTGGCTTTGAATAGAATTGTATGCCAGATGGGTTCATCCAATCCTAAACACTCAAGAAATATTAGCCTTAAAGTGAATGTCATGAGGTCATTGTTATGCTTCAGCTTCAACATCCTTGATATGTTTTTTTTTTCCTTTAGTTACAATGAAGACTATTTATAGCATAGTTCTGTCCAGTGACAAAGACCTTGCTCTCCTTGGATGCTTTAGGAGTCAGAAAAGTATTTAAAAATTAGTAAAAGGTATATATACTTGGTTGCATAAAGGAAAAACCAAAACAAAAAGTTGTGAAGATGCCCATGGTAATATAGTTACTTAAATTTTTTTTATTTCTAAGTAATACAATAGGAAACTCTATTGAGCATAAAACATGTTTTACAGTCTGTCTTATTTGTGCATATCTTCCATGCAATGAAATCCACACTCAGATATGTCAAATTTTGGTATCTGGGCATGTTTTGCACCAAATATTCCTCAAGTAACTGGTATCACAACTACAGGGTTTTTTTAAGTGTACAACAAGTATCCTCAACAGTGTGCTATGTCACTTATGCAGAGAGTTTGTGATACTGTTTTGGTTTGTATTAATGCTGAACTAGTAGCTGTTGGCCCTAACAAACACCTCCATTTTGTATTTACAGCACCTTGTCTATGCTTTCCATAATATATATGTATTTGTATGTATTTGTATATTTACTTTCAATAAATACTTCTAGGTTATTTCTGGTATCTTTTATGTCTAGATAACCTCTAAAGTAAGGAATTTAAATCTCCCTATGATTGTATTTAAAATGAAACAGCTTAGTTAACAATAAAGCTTCCTAAATCCTGTAATGATCAAGAAAGGAAGTGTACAAGTAAAACAGGTTGAGTTGTTTTTTATTAGCTAACTTCTCATGTTTGTTTCAAACAGCTCAGTAACAATAAAGAATTGTTCACACAGGTGCTATATTTGTGCTTTTAGAAATATTAGCAAGCTATTCTGAATTATTGAGTGCATGAATTACCATAGAGGAGAGGATGAGGGAGTGGGGCCTGTTTAGTCTGGAGAAAAGACTCTGAAAGAATCTTACCAGTGTCTGCAGAGAGGGGTCAGAGGATGGACCAGGCTCTGCTCTGTGATGCCAAGCAACAGGACAAGAGGGAACAGCAGAAACTGATGCCCAGGAAGTTCCACCTGAACATGAGGGAGAACTTCCTTATTGTCTAGGTGACTGAGCACTGAAGAGATTGCCCAGAGAGCATGTGGAGTTTCACTCTCTGGAGATATTCCAGAACTATCTGGGTGCAATCCAGCACTGTGTGCTCTAGGGTGACCCTGTTAGGGCAGAGGGCTTGGACCAGCTGAACCACTGTGGTTCCTTCCGACTTGACCCTTTTGTGAGTGGCAAGTGAAAGCACAGCACTGATTTCGGATAGTGTGCATCTTGTTTCTGCTTTCAAACTATGCTTTAAAAGTTGTTTCATAGGATTATACAGTAGAAGTCCATTAATTCTGTGATCTTCTCTGACACAATCTGAAACTTTGATTTCAAAAAACTATGTTTTTTTGTTGTGCCTCATATTCTCCATTGAGTAGTCTCAGTGTAATTTGAACAGTAGGAGGCAATATCTTTTTTTTTAATATCAAGTTACTCTGTTTTCAAGTAGGATTTTAGTAATTTGTGGTTAGTAACTTCACTTGTGCTGAAATAAGCAATGATTTAATGGACTGAAGTTAAGTAGACAGCTTGGTGAATAAAACAGGCTGTTTTCATGTTTTAATGAGAGTATCAATATTATGAATGTTAAAAGAAAAAAGTTTTATCAAGATTATTTTATGATGACTGAAGTTTATTCAGTGAACCTTCCACTGTAATTTTAAAAAATGCATGAACTAAGTGTACTGAATGAATGTATGTGGACTCAACTGGAAAGTAGTTGTAACTGATATTTAAATGGATCTTCTAATTGTTTGCTGTTAAAGCTCATATTTTCATCATTCATTTATTACCAGTGTTAGCAAAGCAAAACCACTTTTACCTTAGAGTCATGAATTTGACACCCTTCAGATTAACATACCTGATTTATAATGTTTTGGTACCTCCCACTATTGGAATTTTGATCCTAAACAACTTCAGTTGTGATTACAAGTATTACTTTGTTAAAATAGTGTTTGAATAAACTGTGATGGTGATTTCAATGGCAAGTCATGCTTTGCTCTTGTAGAACATGAGTTATTGGGTGATTGCCATTCAGTTTTAGTTGGAGGTTTGCATCCAGTTAGATCAGTTGTAGCTGGGTGATCAAGCTACTAGGCATTAAGCATTTGCTCAGTATTGCACATCTGTCTGTGACGTGTGTCAATGAAGGTTATAGGAGAGGTAGGTAGTTACCAGAAAGGTTAAAGGGATTAATACTTGCTTGGTTTTCTTGTCTCCATATGCTGTTGTAGCAGTACCTCTGATACTGCTTGCTGGTCATGGTTACAAAGATAGTATATGCTAATGTGAACTGACTGCCAAAGATTAGTTGGATTCGTGAGTATGTTCATTTGTGTCTTTAATAAGAAATGATTGCTTTAGTATTAGTCATCACTAGTGGAAATAAGAAATTTAAAAAAATGAATGCTTTTTAAGATCAGAGAGAATTCATTTTGCCATTGCTTCCATGTGGATTTTCAGAAGGTGAGAAATAAAATTCAGTAGACAGGAATATCTTCTGAATAAGTAAATACAGTCGTATTAGGAGAACAAGTAGTTTGATTTCTCTATGGAAGTGTTAAACTAAAACACTGAAGTTTAAGTATCAATAACATTTTGATATGTCTTTCATAAGTGTAGTGTTATTCTTCAAGGGTGCATTTTAACCACAGATTGATAAAATATTAATCTCTAATGGAAAAAGAGACCTTATTCATGCAAACTTAATTTTCAAAATAAAAAGAATTGAGGATGTGTGATATAGTGTAATGATGCCTTTCTTAATGCTGTGATTTTTTTGAAGAGATGAACTTTATATTCTTACCCTCTAATAGAATCCTGATGACGTAAGAAAACACTACTTAAGGCTTAGCTTTTCACATATAGGTTAAATTCTTTGAGTGAAAATTATGTATTTTTTTCTGGAAATCAATAAAAAACTTTCTTATTTGTGCAGTTAATGGTATGATTGTTGGTTGCTTTAAAGAGATTCTGAAAGGTGCTGAGTTTCACAAAACTGAGTTTGGCTGTTAGTAGATTGGCCTTTTTTGTAGTAACTGGCACATGGAGGGAACTGGAAGGAAACTAGGACTTCTCATTATTGTGTGACAAGAGTGCAAAGAAATCATGAAAGCATAAATTGTGTGAGTTGGCTTTCCCTTTATTAATGGAAAAAGGTTCTCAGGATCACATGAGCTTTTTCTCTTCTTTGAAACCCCTGCTATGGAGAGCCCACATTGCTGCTGTTCTTCCATTTAAATGGCCTGAGACAAGAATCTCTTTAGAACTAAGCAATAGTTTTTCTTACAGAATGGTGTTAAAAATTCCAATTTAACACATTTTATACAGAAATTTAGTTATATTACTCAAACATGCTTACTTTGTCTCATTGTTTTTTCGACTTTAAGGGAATTGAGTCTTAAAACTCAA